CAACTGCCATGTGATTGGTTGATTTGATAATTGCATTAATGAGAAATTGAACAGGTGTTCCTAATAATCCTTTAGGTGAGTGTATACCATACTTTGGTACTAAACAACAGTAGTAACATGTCATATGACTTAAGCATTTAATTAATATACAGTGCTGTGCAAAACAAAAAAGTTTAAAGCTATCTGGATAGAAAGTAGAGGTGGACGATAAATCGATTTCATCGATTAATTTGAATTTACAGTTCAGGACGATGTGTTTTTCTGAAAATCGATTTTATTACTTATTTTACACGCGAGCACCAAAAGCGGAACTAACGCGACGCACCGCTCTTCACGGGTACATTAGCGCGGCGCACCCAAACACTGTAGCGAATTCACAAACATGGCAATGGTTCGGTTTTGCACCGTCGGACACAGACCAAACAAGTCCTCTTTGTAAAGTCAATTTACAAATTTATTCCAGCACCTAAAGCAGAGGCACGCAGCGAAGTACAGCTCCCAGCGAAATGAAAATACCCGCAGCACCAGCACAACATCCAAAGTTAAGCAAGCAACCATCCCTGACACGTTTTCGAACTGTGTGCCATATGATAAGAATGGGGCACGGTGGAAGGCGATAACAGACGCTGTCGCGATGTATATTGCAAAAGACATGGTGCCCATACATACTGTGGAAAAGCCGGGATTCATTAACATGCTAAAAGTTTTTACACGTTTCTAAAAGTGTTTACAATGGCGTGGTCTGCCATCTCACTTACAAGCATCTTTTTTGGCTTGTCAAATTGCACTTTAACTCTAAAGTAAAAAAACAAAATAAAATTAAAACTTTATTTGTCATCTGTAGTTTGATTTTGAGTAGGGGAGGGGAAAATCGATTAAAATCGAAGATCGGATTTATTGTGAAAAAATCTGAGATTTTATCTTTAGGCCATAACGCCCAGCTCTAATAGAAAGTATATATTTGCTCAAAAAACAAGAACAATTTAACATTAAGACGTTTGCAAATGAATAGAAACAATGTAAACTAACAAGAAGGTTACTGATATCTTGTCGGATGGTGAGAAGAACACTAATCTAAGGCCCAATCCCAATTCTATTTTCTACCCCTTTGCCTACCCCTCACCCCTTCCCCTTGCCCCTTGAAATGAAGTGGAAAGGGGTAGGGTTAAAAAATTTCCCCTAAGAAATGGGACAGCACTACTACACTGTTACACGTCATCATCCATTGTCACTACCTCCTAACGTTACGTCAGAGGACATGCTCC